ATAGCTCACCGCGACCTCAAACTCTTGGGCTCAAGCCAACCTCCTGCCCCAGCCTCCTGAGTAGCTGGGACTATAGGCATATGCCACCACACCTGGCTTTGATTCTTTTTCCCAATGATTTGATAACTGTTTTAATATAATTAGTTTTCTTTGTATTCCTTTATATTTTATGCATTTGAAAACATTATTCTGAGAAGCATCCAGAAATTTCATCCATCAAAGAATTTATGGTATATATAAAGGTTAAGAGTCCCTCCTGCAGGTGAATTATCCATGTCCCTGTCTAAATCCAGTCCCTTTATTTGTGCACTAGATACTGTCTCCTCTCACCCACTGTGCTAAGTGTCCTCCTTTTGTCCTTCCAGATCTGTTCTCTACCTTCTCCTTGCTCTGGGCCCTGGAGCTGATCTCTGTGCAGCATCAACCAGATCTCGTTGCATTCTGACTTCCGCTGGGATGAGACAATGGGAGGTACAAGTAGGACAGAGAAGGGTGGAGGAAGGAGACTTTGGGGTATTTATCCTCCCTCTCTCCCCACAGCCTTGGGTTGGCAGAAGCTCTTTTCCAGCTTTGGTTGGGCAACCCTTTCCTGTGGCTAAAGCTCCCTGTCTTGATTTCATATAACTGCCCCTGATTTTGCTTCTTCATGGTCCTCCTGCTTGGTGAGCACCCTGTGATTCACCATTCCTTGAGTGCTTCTCTTAAGTCAGCCCATTCCTCTATTATAATCTCTCCAGGCTCCCTCTTTGGAGAGTGTCATATACTTTTTTGCCAGGGGCCTCACAACTACATGGACTCAAAGAAATGGCCCCAGCAGCTCTCCCAGCTGAGTTCATTCATTCTCATCAAGAAAGGCTCCTTTCAACCCACTTACACCTCCTTACAGCTACCACTTCCTCCTTACAGCTGAAGGCTCCCATGTCACATAAAATTTTGATTAAATAAATTTGTAATGCTTTTCTTCTGTTACCCTTCTGTTTTCTCCTTACCACAACCCTCCTTACAGCTACCACTTCCTTGTTAGCCAGACCTACTGTCTCCAATACTTCTCCTTTCTCCTCTAGTTCACTCTTCACACACTTCAGCTGGGCCTTTGACTCCTCCCCACTGAAACTGCCCATCCAGGTCACTGATGATCTCACAGGGTCAGTACTTTATAATGCAGCACTCTAACCTACATTTAATATGTAGTTTATTTATTATGTATATTAATTATTATCTCTCTCCCTCCACCAGAACATAAGCTCCTCAAACCTAGGGATTTTTGTTCCTTTGGTTCTCTGGTGTTCCCTAAGTGCCTAGAACAGGGCTTGGCACATACATTTTTTGTTTGTTTGTTTGTTTGTTTGTGAGAGAAGTATTGCTCTTATCCCCCAGGTTTGAGTGCAATGGCTCGATCTCAGCTGACTGCAACCTCCGCCTCCTGGGTTCAAATGATTCTCCTGCCTCTGCCTCCCAAGTAGCTGGGATTAAGTCGCCTGCCACCACATCCGGCTAATTTTTGTATATTTTAGTAGAGACGGGGTTTCACCACTTTGGCCAGGCTGGTCTTGAACTCCTGACCTCAGGTGATTCACCCACTTTGGCCTCCCAAAGTGCTGGAATTATAGGCGTGAGCCACTGAGCCCGGCAGGCACATGCATTTTTGTTTAATTTAATTAAATGGTAATCATTGCCTGTTTAGGGATGGAAAGGTGTGATACCTTTCCTTATCATCTTAAGGCCAACACTCCTATAACAAAGGCAGGCTAACAGAAGAAAAGCATTACAAATTTATTTAATCAAAATTTTATGTGACATGGGAGCCTTCAGAAATGAAGACCCAAAGACCCAAGTAAAATTGTATTTTTATATTTAGGTTTCATGAAGAATAGACAGCCATGTAGAAATGTGATTGGACAAATCGTTGATTGGACAAATCTATTGATGGCAATAGACCAAGTTGAGAGGCCCAGCAAGGCCTGTCCGTCTAGATTCTTCTTGGCCTCTCTGTGTAGCACTCCTTCCTTCTGGGTGTAGGGCAGGACTCTTCTGGAATGAGGGTATTCCAGGGAGAAGGAGAAGAGAGTGACCTTTCTAGGTTTTATGGCGTGCTTTTTTGTAGAGGAGTCTATAACTAGACTTGAGGAAGAGGAATTCTGGTTCTGGTTGCTTTTTTTTTTTTTTTTTTTTTTAAAAGACAGGATTTCTGTCTCCCAGACTGGAGTGCAGTGATATAATCATAGCTCCACTGCAGCCTCAAACTCCTGGGCCCAAGTGATCCTCCCGCCTCTGCTTCCCAAGTAGCTGGGATGACAGGCATGCGGCACTATGCCCAGATAATGTTTAAATTTTTTTCATAGAGATGAGGTCTTGCTATGTTGCCCAGGCTGGTTTTGAACTCCTGAGCTCAAGAGATACTCTGCCTCGGCCTCCCAAAGTGATGGGATTACAGGAGTGAGCCACTGCACCCAGTTAATTCTGGTTTCTATGACTTGCTTTGGAAGAGGAAGAGGGGCAAGAGGGAACAGGGAAGGAGAAGGTCACAGAGATCTTGCTTCTGAGGCCTTCCAATCTCCTTTAGTTCAAAGTGAGAGGTGACAATGTGCTAGCAGCCCTGGCTCTCGGAGCCTCCTCGGCCTCGGGTCCACTCTGCTGGGACTTGAGGAGCCCTTCAGCCTGCCACTACACTGTGGGAGCCCCTCTCTGGGCTGGCCGAGGTGGGAGCTGGCTCCCTCTGCTTGTGGGGAGGTGTGGAGGGAGAAGCGCCGGCGGGATCCGGGTCTGCAGGCTGTGCTAGTGGGACAGAGGGAGTTCCCCGTGGGTGTGGGTTCAGCAGGCCCCCGACTGGAGCAGCCTGCCAGCGACGCTGTCCTGGGAAGTGAGAGGCTTAACACCCGGGCCAGCAGCTGCCAAGGGTGTGCTCAGTCCCCCAGCAGTGCCAGCCCACCGGCACTGCGCTCGAATTCTCTGCGGACCTCAGCTGCCTCCCAGGGGGGCAGGGCTCGGGACCCACAGTCAGCCATGCTGAAGCCTCCCCCATGCTGTGGGCTCCTGCGCAGCCCAAACCTCCCCGACTAGCAATAAGCACCGCTCGCTGTTGCTGCCCAAGAGCTGAGGAGTGTGGGTGCACAGCTCAGGACTGGTGGGCAGCTCCACCTGCAGCCCAGGTGTGGGATCCACTGGGTGAAGCCAGCTGGGCTCCTGGGTCTAGTGGGGACTTGGAGAACCTTTAAGTCTAGCTGAGGGATTGTAGACGCACCAATCAGCACTCTGTGTCTAGCTCAGGGTTTGTAAATACACAAATCAGTACTCTGTATCTAGCTCAAGGTTTGTAAAGGCATGCACCAGCCGGTGCTCTGTGTCTAGCTAATCTAGTGGGGACTTGGAGAACTTTTTTGTCTAGCTAGAGGATTGTAAATGCACCAATCAGCACTCTGTATCTAGCTCAGGGATTGTAAATGCACCAATCAGCTCTCTGTAAAACAGACCAATCAGCTCTCTGTAAAATAGACCAAACAGCTCTCTGTAAAATGGACCAATCAGCAGGATGTGGGTGGGGTCAGATAAGGGAATAAAAGCAGGCTGCCTGCGGCAGCTAGTGGTAACCTGCTTGAGTCACTTCTTCTGCTGTGGAAGCTTTGTTCATTCGTTCTTTGCAATAAATTTTTTTGCTGCTCACCCTTTGGGTCTATGCCACCTTTATGAGCTGTGACACTCACTAGGAAGGTTTGTAGCTTCACTCCTGAGGCCAGAGAGACCAGGAACCCACTGGAAGGAACGGACAAATCCAGATGTGCCGCCTTAAAGAGCGCTAACACTCACTGCAAAGGTCTGCAGCTTCACTCCTGAAGTCAGCAACACCAGAAACCCACCAGAAGGAAAAAACTGCAGACACATCTGAACATCTGAAGGAACAGACTGCGGACACACCATCTTTAAAAACTGTTTAACACTCACCGCGAGCATCCGCGGCTTCGTTCTTTAAGTCTGCGAGACCAAGAACCCACGAATTCCAGACACAAAAGTACTCAGCATTCCAAAGTGTCATAGTTTGGTATATCATCTGAGCCCCAACACCCCTCATACACAGAGTAACACCTAAAAAGGTGAAGTGACAACACAAAAATAAAATGTAGATGAATACACGTCATATCTTATAATAGGAATTTTTATTCTCTTAAATAAAAGTTACAGGAGGTCATTGGTTTGGACTTAGTTTCTGCACCAGGCCTAAAAGACCAAACCAAAGGGGAGTCACTCATGCTAAAGTTTCACACCATCAACCCGAAATTAGTTGTTTATCTGACCTTCCAAGAAACCAAGAGACACAGAGAGATAATAGCCAAACCCTCAAACAGACCAGTTTTTGCTGGCATGATAAGGAAGTTGCCTCTGCTTTAACCTTTATAAGAAAAGTAACTTTGAAACAACCAGTCTGCTTTTTGTTTTCTGTTTCTGCTCTCATCTCTTTTATATCAATAAAACCAGCCGCCTCTGTTCAGCTCATCAGAACACTTTCTATTTTAAAAATGAGGTGCCTGATTCTAGAATTGCAAATAAAAGCCAATTAAGATCTTTAAAACTAAATTTGTTGTCATTTTGTCTTTTGACAGTCCTAAACATATGAGAAAAGAGACCTCAGAAAATCAAGTATAACAGCAAATAAATTTTAACATTTGATATATTTTAAAAAACCATAAAAGTAAAAGACAAACTATAAACTAAAAATTAAACTGCAGCATATATGCCAAACATGGACATATATAATAATTTCTTACAAATCAATAGAGAATATTATACCAGTTTTTAAAAATAGTGAAAAGCATGGAAAAATAATTCACACACACAAAAATATATATATATAACCATCAACCTCATGAATAAAGAAATGCAAATTCAAACTACAGTGAGGCCTCATTTTTGCCTATCAAAACAGAAAATTTTATTTTAATTAACCTTTGATTCAGTAATTCTATTTCCAGGTCCTTGTCTTAAAGAATTAGAGAGGTGCACAAATATGTGTGTTCAAGGATATTTATTGCAACAACATTTATGAAAACAACCTGAAATTCCAACAATAGAGATACGCTTAAATAATGTATAAAACATTCATATCAATAGAGTATTTTACAGCTGTTTAAAATAATGTTTTTGTAGACTAATCAATGATTTCAGAAAATGTTTATAAAGTTCAAGATTTAAAAAGTATGATATAAAACTGTACATAAAGCAAGATTCCAAAATTTCAAATACAAATACATATAGGTACATATATACATATACCACAAACAGAAAAATGACTGAAAGAAAAAAATATGAAAATGTTAACGCTTGTTATTTCTATGTAGTGGGATTATGAGAGGTTTCATTTTTTCGTTTAAAGTTTCCTGTATTTTCCAATTTTCCCTAAATTATGTATTGCTTTCACATTTAGAAAAATAATAAATAAATGTTAATAATAATGTAACAGTGAGATCAAAGGAGTTCCAAAATATTCCAACATAAACACTGTGTGTTTTGATCATCCTTTTTTTTTTTTTTTTTTATAAGTGACTAAATCTTCCAGCTAAAAAGTTTTTATTTCCAGTAGAAGTAGTACTTGTGTTTTTTCCTTGACTTGATTTGGATACAGGATCCACTGCAACATATTTGATTTGGAAACCTCCAGCTGTCACTGAAGCATCACTTAGAAACTTCAAGGTCATGACATTTCCTGTTGGGGGGAAGGAGACAAAAGAACAAAGATGTTACTCTCCTTTGATTTGGCTGACAATTCAAAGACTCTTCATTCTCATAGGAGAATATAAGAATTCATAAACAAGATTCCCAGAATTCAGAGGTCGATTCTCAAGCTGAAGAGTCTGTGGCTGCACTGCTGCAGGGAGCAGGGTAAGAGAGGTTTGTATTTTTTTCTTCGGTCCTCCAATCTGTCCTACAGGAAATTTTGTCTATTGCATTTATTTATTTATTTTTGAATGAGACGGAGTCTCTCTCACTCTGTTGCCCAGGCTAGAGTGCCGTGGCGCAATCTCGGCTCACCTCAACCTCCGCCTCCTAGCTCAAGCAATTCTCCTGCCTCAGCCTCCCGAGTAGCTGGGATTACAGGCACGTGCCACCACACCTGGCTGATTTTTTGTATTTTTACTAGAGACGGGGTTTCACCATGTTGGCCAGGCTGGTCTCGAACTCCCAACCTCAGGTGATCTATCCACCTCAGCCTCCCAAAGTGCTGGGATTACAGGTGTGAGCCACCGAGTTGGCCTCTCTGTTGTATTTAAAAGGTACTCTTGGGCTGGGCCTGGTAGGTCACACCTATAATCCCAGTACTTTGGGAGGTCAAGGTGGGCAGATCACCTGAGGTCGAGAGTTCAAGACCAGCCTGACCAAAATGGAGAAACCTCGTCTCAACTAAAAATACAAAAAATCAGCCAGGCGTGGTGGCGTGTGCCTGTAATCCCAGCTACTCGGGAGGCTGAGGCAGGAGAATCACTTGAACCGGGAGGCAGAGGTTGCAGTGAGCCGAGATCGTGCCATTGCACAACCTGGGCAACAAGAGCAAAACTCCATCTCAAAAAAAAAAATAAATAAAAGATACTCTTCATAGAAGGAACATTCACTGAATTACAGGAGAATGGCAGGCAGGTCAAACCAGTGATGGGTGGATGAGTTATTTACTAAATGATGTCACAGCAACAAGTTTCACATTTATAAGAAACGAAGTTAGACTCCTACTTTGCACAGAGTACCTAAACACATTTTACCGTCATATAAAGACCAAAATGTGCTAAATAAGGAGGAAAAACTTTATTATATAACATAAAATATAGGAATATTTGTATCTTTTTCAGGAGGCAAAGGACTTCTTTTTGTTTATTTTTGGAGACAGGATCTCACTACGTTGCCCAGACTGGTCTCAAGCTCCTGTGCTCAAGTGATCCTCCTACTCCAGTTTCCCAAAATGTTGGGGTCACAGGCATGAGCTGCAAATATATATAAACAAAAGCAGAGTATATACATTCCTAATGCGTGCTTTTATCTATTAACTCATTTAACCCCCAAAACAACACTGTGAGGTGAGGGGGATACTTTTTAAATATTCATTTTAAAGATAAGAAACTGAGGCACAGAGTGACTAAGTAGCTTGCCCAAAGCCACAGAACTAAATGGTCAGAGTCAGGTTTGAGCACAGGCAGTCTGGTTTCCAAGTTCATGCTCTGATTCTCAGACTGCTGTTTTCCCATGTTTGGAAGATTTGCCTAAATATATATAAAAAATTTTTGCATGAGACAGACTGAGAGAAAATAGGGTTAATATCTCTAATATACAAAGGGCTGCTAGAAATAAAAAAGAGAAAGACAAAAGTGCCAAAGAAAAATAGGCAAGAAATTTATTCTTTGAACACCTAAGAATAGGTGTTCAAAGGGATGTTCAAAGGGATAATAGACATTTAAAAATGTGTTCAAAGACACTACCAAAAATTCAACTTAGATTATTAATGATACTTTTTTGCTCTTCTATTGTGAGATAATTCAGAGAATATTCAGCTGGTTAAAATGCAAATTGGTTAGGTATGAGTTGACAGGCCTTATTAAAAAAAAAATAGAAGAAAATGTACATTGGGAGTCAGCCAGGCAAGTTGGTTTACGCCTGTAATCCCAGCACTTTGGGAGGCTGAGGCAGGAGGACAACTTGAATTCCGGACTTCAGGACCAGCGTAGGCAACACAGCAAGACCCCATCTCTACTAAAAATACAAAAATTAGCCTTGTGCGAGAAAATCACTTGAGCCTAGGAGTTTGAGGCTGTAGTGAGCCATGATAGTGCCCTTGCATTCCAGCCTGGGTGACAGAATGAGACCCTGTCTCAAAAAAAAAAAAAAAAAAAAAAAAGAAAAAAAAAAAAAATGCAAATTGGCCTGAAAGAAACTATTTTTTTTTTTTTTTTTTAAGTAGCATTACTTAGTAAAGACAGAGGTTTTAAAATGTTCATTGAAATGTTGAATAACAAAAGAAAAAAATCAGAATAAAACACCTCAAAATGTTAAATATTAGTACATGACAAATTATGGTATATCCACACAGTGACCTATTAGGCAGTCAGGAAAAAGAATTTGAATGATCTAAATATCGTACTCTGACTTGGAAATATGTCCATAGTATCCATGTATATAATGTTTGTATAATAGAAAAACATCTGGAAGGATGGTCAGTACAGAGTTATCAAATGCCTTTCTGGGATGGAGAGGTGAGGAGAGTAGGCACATGCTTACTTTTATATATCTTATTAATGTGGTAGGATTATGGACAATATCAGGTTCTTTTTTTTTTTTTTTTTTTTTTTTTGAGACAGGATGTCACTCTGTCTTCCAGGCTGGAGAGCAGTGGCATGATCACAGCTCACTACAGCCTTGACCTCCCTGGATTCAGGTGATCCTCCTACCTCAGCCTCCTGAGTAGCTGGGACTACAGGTACACATCAAGATGCCTGGCTAACTTTGTATTTTTAAATTTTTTTTGAAAGGGAATCTTACTCTGTTGCCCAGGCTAGAGTGCAGTGGAGCCATCTCAGCTAACTACAATCTCTGCCTCTCAGGTTCAAGCGATTTTCCTGCCTCAGCCTCCTGAGTAACAGGGACTACAGGCACTTGCCACCACACCTGGCTAATTTTTTGTGTTTTTAGTACAGATGGGGTTTTACCATATTGGCCAGGCTGTCTTGAACTCCTGACCTTAATTGATCCACCTGCCTCAGCCTCCTGAAGTGCTAGGATTACAGGTGTGAGCCACTGTGCCCCGCCGACTTTTGTATTTTTTTGTGGAGACAGAGTTGCATCATGTTGCCCAGACTGGCCTCAAACTCCTGAGGCTCAAGCAATCCTCTCACCTTGGCCTCCCACAGTGCTAGAATTACAGGCATGAACTACCATGCTTGGCCAATGTCTTTATTTTCTATTTTTGTTTTGTAATCTATACCCCAGGTTGAGTAAGCATATATTTAAAAAGAAATAGTATTGTGCTTGATAGGATTTTTTTTTTTTGAGATGGGGTCTCACTGTGTTGCCCAGGCTGGAGTACAGTGGCACCATCTCGGCTCACTGCAACCTCTGCCTCCCGAGTTCAAGTGATTCTCCTGCCTCAGCCTCCCACGTAGCTGGAACTACAGGCTCCCGCTACCACGCCCGGCTAATTTTTTGCATTTTTAGTAGAGATGGGGTTTCACCGTGTTAGCCAGGATGGTCTCGATCTCCTGACCTGGTGATCCACCCACCTCAGCCTCCCAAAGTGCTGGGATTACAGGCGTGAGCCACTGTGCCAGGCCTATGCTTGATAGGATTTTATGTTAACTTTATCTTATTTTTTCTTTTTCTTTTTTCTTTTTTTTTTTTTTTTTGAGATGGAGTCTCGCTCTGCCACCCAGGCTGGAGTGCAGTGGTGTGATCTTGGCTCACTGCAACCTCCACCTCCCGGGTTCATGCCATTCTCGGCTCAGCTTCCCGAGTACCTGGGACCACAGGCGCCTGCCACCAGGCCCAGCTAATTTTTTGTGTTTTTAGTAGAGATGGGGTTTCACCGTGTTAGCCAGGATGGTCTCGATCTCCTAACCTCATGATCCACCTGCCTCGGGCTCCCAAGTGCTGGGATTACAGGCATCAGCCGCCACCACACCCGGCCTATACCTTCTTTTTCTATTACTTTGTATCAGTGTCCTCTTCCTGATTTTTTGCTAAATCTTTGGCTCTTTTGTTTAACTGTATTCTTTTCTGTTTCTTGATTTGTTTCTCTTTGAATGAGAAATTGTGTGGGTTTTTTTTTTCCCAGTTTCTTGAAGTTGTGCCAATAAAACCCCACCACTGATTTGATTACGTTTGGAGTAAGTTGTCTATTTTAGAGAAAAAAGGAAAATGTAAAATTTCAGACTTTTTTTTTTTGAGACAGAGTTTTGCTCTTGCTGCCCAGGCTGGAGTGCAATGGCGCGATCTCGGCTCACTGCAACCTCTGCCTCCCGGGTTCAAGCAATTCTCCTGCCTCAGCCTCTCGAGTAGCTGGGATTACAGGCATGCGCCTCCACGCCCGGCTAATTTTGTATTTCTATTGGAGACGTGGTTTCTCCATGTTGGTCAGGCTGGTCTTGAGCTCAGGTGATCCGCCTGCCTCCGCCTCCCAAAGTGCTGGGATTACAGTCGTGAGCCACCGTGCCCAGCCTAGACTTCTTTTTAACTTCTTTGTTTAATAGGATTCTCATCCCCCAACTACCTCCTACAGCAATAAGATGTTTTCTTTCAACTGTCTGTTAATATAAAATATATTTTCAAGAAAGGAATGAGAGATAAGCAAATGGTTTAATTTAATAGGTTATCTTTCTTAAGGGAGTTTGTAACAGAATAATGAACTAGCAAGGTTTAAGCATTAATCATTCAATAACAGAGCAGGAAGTTCCATCTCTTACAGTTATGACGAATAAATTAGAATTGAGTCACTGAAAGGCTGGGGTGTGGGAGTAAGTTAACTAGTAGTATCTGAGTACTCAGAAATTGCAACTCAGTGTAGTTTTATTGTTTATAGTTGCAGAAGTATTGTGATAATTTTATGACTTGGGAGAAAATAGAATACATAAAAATGCCAGCTGCTGGTGCTGGTGATGGAAATAAAATATTGAATACATGTAAGAAAGAACTTTTTAGGCAGAAAATAGCAGTATGGGATAAATTAAAGAGTGATATTGCATATTAAGATAAATTTATGCGACTACAGGGCATTTCTTGAGGTATATTTCTTGGAATAAAGTCACCGAAAATAATGAGGGGGCAATATTTGGAAAGCACTGCCTATTATATCTGGTCTTTTCAGATTTACTATGCATGATTAGCATATTAAAAGAACCCTGCTGTCTTCCAGTAAAGAAATCTGTTTGATATTGTTTAACCCAATGTTTTCCAAATTTATGTGACCTTAGAGCCCTCTTCTCATGTAACATTCTATTTAAATCTTACAGAACTTTGTTATTTGAAACATTCTCTGGAGAATACTGTACTAAGATAAAAATGTAATGAATATGATGTAAGGTTGTTTTAGTGACAAAGATTTTTAATGACTTTATAAATTACTTCAACCCTTTATCAATGAAAAATTTCAGCTATTTTATTAGCACATTTATGGAAATCATAAACTACAGCAATACTTGTGGATTTGCAGATTCAAGACTCTCTCAGACGCATTACATTTTCTGCAAAGAACAAGAATCTACACATTTTTTAGTGCAGGCAGTTGGCATAAATCTTTAAGTAATTTTTTTTTTCTTTTTGTAAGATAGCAAGCTGCATCTGGTCTTGGTTCTTTCAACTTTAAAAAGTTAATAATAACTGCTATTTACTATTTTACAGTGTCCCTTCACTTTCAGGGACACTAAAAAAAAAATCATAGTTTTGGTCCTCAATTTAGAACCTTACCTGTACTGATGATGTCATCTGGAAGCTCATCTCCACAGTATCTGAAAAGGAATTTTTAGAAAAGAGATGTCACACAAATGAATATTATACAGCTAGTAAAGGGACTCTTACCAATAATTAAGCCTCTAAGTAATAGCTCATTGTTCCATAATTTTTGAAATTTGTATTGTTATTTTACTTGGATTTGTAAGGGAGAATAGGAGTTAAAGTTTGTTATTTGAAATAATCTTCTTACAATATTTATGAGATTTTATTTTATTTTATTTAGATGGAGTCTTGCTCTGTCGCTCAGGCTGGAGTGCAGTGGCGCAGTCTCGGCTCTAATGCAACCTCTTCCTCCTGGGTTCAAGCGATTCTCCTGCCTCAGCCTCCTGAGTAACTGAGATTACAGGTATGCACCACCAAACCTGGCTAATTTTTGTACTTTTAGTAAAGATGGGGTTTCACCATGTTGGCCAGGCTCATCTTCAACTGCTGACTTCAGGTGATCCTCCCACCTCAGCCTCTCAAAGTGTTGGGATTATAGGCATGAGCCACCGCACCCAGCCAATGAGATTTTAAAGGAAAGATATGTGGCATTTTTACTTTGTGTAACTAGAAAATTTTGTGCAGTAAGTAATTTGAATCTACTTGGAAAAATTAAAATTTTATTTCTTTTTTTTGAGACGGAGTCTCAGTCTGTAGCCCAGGCTGGAGTACAATGGTACCGTCTTGGCTCACTGCAACCTCTGCCTCCTGGGTTAAAGTGATTCTCCTGCCTCAGCCTCCCGAGTAGCTGAGATTACAGGCACCCACCACCACGCCCGGCTAATTTTTTGTATTTTTAGTAGCGATGGGGTTTCTCCATGTTGGCCAGCGTGGTCTCAAACTCCCAACCTCAGGTGATCCGCCCGCCTCGGCCTCCCAAAGTGCTAGGATTACAGGCATAAGCCACTGTGTCTGGCCTTAAAAATTTATTTCTAATTAATTTTATAAAGTTTTCTTCACAGTTATAGAAGAATGGGCATATGGTTGGTGATATTAATATTTTGAATTCTAGGATAGACTGATTTAAATCTGGAAAAATTATTTTGAACCTTATAGGTATAAAAGGATTTGATTTTTATCTGAATCATGACTTGAAAGGAACCCTCTTACACATATAAAAAGGTAAGAGTTTTATAGGTTTCTTTTTTTTTTTTTTTTTTTTTTTTGAGACGGAGTCTCACTCTGTCACCCAGACTGGAGTGCAGTGGCCGGATCTCAGCTCACTGCAAGCTCCACCTCCCAGGTTTATGCCATTCTCCTGCCTCAGCCTCCCAAGTAGCTGGGACTACAGGTGCCCGCCACCTCGCCCGGCTAGTTTTTTGTATTTTTTAGTAGAGAAGGGGTTTCACCGTGTTAGCCAGGATGGTCTCGATCTCCTGACCTTGTGATCCGCCCATCTCGGCCTCCCAAAGTGCTGGGATTACAGGCTTGAGCCACCGCGCCCGGCCTATAGGTTTCTAAATATGTAATTTATTGAAGAGGAAAAGTCTAAATTTACCTAAACGGTAAATTATATAATATAAATTCAAAAAATAAATTAGTCTGTTCAAACCTCCTAAAAACAGTAGTTTATAATTTTATATAAGATAGGATCTTGCTGTATTGCCCAGGCTGAAATACAGTGTTTATTCATAGGCCCCTTTCCACTTCTCAACACGGGAGTTTTAATCTGCTTGTTTCTGACCTGGGCAGGTTCATCCCTTCTTAGGCAACCTGGTGGTCCCTTACTCCTGAGAGGTCATCATATTGATGCTGCTCTTAGTGTGGACACCCCATCAACATAGTTCACTCTAACCCAGAACTACTGGGCTCAAGTGCTCCTCCTGCCTCAGCTTTCAAAGTAGCTGGGACCACAGGTGTGCCCACCTGGACTTTGTTCTTAATTCCCCCAACTCTACTTTGTGTCTTCATCAAACTATTTTTATAAACTATCTTTTCTCTACAGCAGTAGTCTGTCAGCTAAAGAAGAAAATGAGGCCGGGTGCAGTGGCTCACGCCTGTAATCCCAGCACTTTGGGAGGCTGAGGCGGGTGGATCACCTAAAGTCAGGAGTTTGAGACCAACCTGGCCAACATGGTGAAACCCCACCTCTACTAAAAATACAAAAATTAGCCAGGCATGGTGGTAGGTGCCTGTAATCCCAGCTACTCGGGAGGCTGGGGCAGGAGAATTACTGGAACTCGGGAGGCAGAGGTTGCAGTGAGCCAAGATTGTGCCACTGCTCTCCAGCCTGCTGACAGAGTGAGACTCTGTCTCAAAAAAAAAAAAAAGTAGAAAGAAGAAAACAAAACGAAAAATACTTTCCCTTCAAAAAGTATTCATTTTTGCAAGAAATGCCTTTGGTTTTCTTTGTATTTAAGTTACACGTTCAAAATCGACATAAAAAGCGATTGAGTCTGTCATTTTTAAATTGTCCCCACTACCATTTTTTTCCCGTTAAATTACTATCATGTATAATAGATAATTGAAAACTGATAGTCTATTGATACTTGGTAGTCTAAAATATGGGTTATTAGGTGGGGACCTGAGTATATAAAATACCTAATTGTACAGTCTTTAATTTTGCAATATATCATAAGACACGCAAAATTCAAAGTATATTAAAGATTTGGAATGTGAAGAAAAAGGTTGTGTTCTAGCATGCTGGAAAGCCAAAGGAAAATATTAAAGAGAGAAAGGGTTAAACTTTGCTTATTTACTTTACATCCATAAGACTTAGCACAATGCTTTGTAGGAATAAGAAAGGCAACAATTACTGAATTTATAATCTTTTTTTTTTTTTAAGACAGAGTCTCGCTCTGTCACCTAGGCTGGAGTGCAGTGGTGCAATCTTGGCTCACTGCAACCTCCACCTCCCGGGTTCAAGTGATTCTCCTGCCTCAGCCTCCTGATTAGCTGGGATTACAGGCGCCTGCCACCATGCCCAGCTAATTTTTGTATTTTTAGTAAAAACAGGGTTTTGCCATGTTGGCCAGGCTGGTCTCGAACTCCTGACCTCAGGTGATCCGCCCACCTTGGCCTCCCAAAGTGGTGTGGATTACAGGCATGAGCCACCGTGCCTGGCCCTATAATCATTTTTAAGGTTGTAAGAAATTAGAACTTAAAAACATGAACAATTTTTGCAACTCACATATCTTTCTTCCTTCTATTGTTAGTCAGATCTTGAGGTATTTATAAAATAGACTAACTAGTTCTTACAACTTAGCCATAATCAAAAGGCAGCTCTCACTACTTTAATAAGTATGTTGTAGCAGCCAGCTAAGAAAAATCTTTGTTGAAAAATGATATGGTGCTTTAGGAGAGTAGAACTATTCCAAAATCAATATTATAGGGGCGGTGGAGGAAAAATTAAAGAAGCATCGAACAAAATACTGGACATTCATTTAACTTCCTGTATGGGGACCTACACGTACCTTCCCACAAAGCCATGGACATCATCGTAACTGTCATATATTTCAACATAATCGGCCAAGCAACCTGGATCATCTTCAAGGTCAAAATCTAAAAAACTCAGGTGAATGTGCTGACCATACTTGAGTCTAATGTGCCAGTAGCAGATTTGGTTATCTTCGTACTCATTTGGGAAGCCTGGAGATTTAAAAATTCGCTTTGAATCTGTAAAGACACCGCCACACTCCTTTGCTGAAATGAGAAGGAAAAAAACGTAAAAACCCCAAAGCATTAGGAAAAACATTATCCCTATTAAAAGTGACATTTCTTAGCAATCTATTACTTTTTATGAAATATTAAATGTCTTAGTATACAGCATGTATGGTATATTATGTATGCTTTTAGCTAAAGAATAAATGTATTTTTTCATCAATAGTTACCAAATTATCTAAAATGAACATGGACTCTTTGTGAATTTATTTTTCTTTTTATATTTTGAGACAAGATCTCGCTCTGTCACCCTGGCTGGAGTGCAGTGACCCAATCATAGCTCATTGCAGCTTTGAACTCCTTGGCTCAAGCGATCCTCCCACTTCAGCCTCCTGAGTAGCTGGGATGACAGGCATGTGCCACCAAGCCCTGGTAATTTTTTTTTTTGTAGAAATGGGTCTTGCTATGTTGCCCATGCTGGTATTGAACTCCTGACCTCAAGTGATCCTCCTGCCTCTGCCTCTGAAAGTGCTGAGATTATAGACATGAGCCACTGTGCCTAGCCATGAATTTTTAAAAAGTAAATATAGTAAGAAAAAAATGGCTAGGTGCAGTGATGCTCACCCTTAGTCCCAGCTAATTGGGAGGCTGAGGCAGAAGAATCCCATGAGCCTAGGAGTTTGAGGCCAACCTGGGCAACATAGTGAGACTCTGTCTCTAAAAAAATAAAAATAAAAATAAATTTTAAAATTAAAACAATTGAAATGTAATTAATTTTTGCTTTATTTTATCTTTTAAGGCATAACATGACAAGTCTTTTGTGCACACACCTGTTTTTTGTTGTTGTTTTTTGAAATGGAGTTTCGCTCTGTTGCCCAGGCTGGAGTGCAGTGGCACAATCTCCTCTCACTTTTGCAATTGTTCAAGCAATTCTTATGCTTCAGCCTTCTGAGTAACTGGGATTACAGGCATGAGCCACCATGTCTGGCTAATTTTTGTATTTTCAGTGGAGATAGGGTCTTGCCATGTTGGCCAGGTTGGTCTCGAACTCCTGACCTCTGGTGATCGACCCACCTCCCAAAGTGCTAGGATTACAGGCGTGAGCCATGGTGCCCGGCTTATGTCTATGTATTTTGACAAATATATATACATTTATATTACAAACAGCCCTATCAAGATGGTAGGGACTTTGCCCTGTGGTGTCACCATGTGTCTTCGGGGCCACAAGCACTTAGAATAATGGATCCCGTAAATTCTGTTTGGAAAATCATTATGCAATTTCATGATCGCAGGAAACTTTAAAGTCACTCTAATCCACTTAAAAGGAATAATTTATAATTATTCTGTATACTGCCTTTACTGATTTTAAACTAATACCCTAATCCTAATATTTTAGGATTTGATGGAGTTATTCAGGTTTGTTTTTTCCAAGTCATTCATCATTTAACAGATTTCAATGTTATAACTTGTCATAAGAAAAGCAAACACATATAAAATAAAACAAAAACGCTACATCAGAATCAATGGTTTGCAATATGACCTAGAGAGAAAGCTAGGAAGAAGCCCTGGTTAATTTTATTCCATATAAGGTAAGTGTCTAATGTCTAGAAAGAGGTGCTCCCCAGCCTTTCTATGATCCTGTTCTGCTCATCCAATCTTTGTTGTATATATTAATAAATTAGAAAAAATTCAAATCTTGAACTAATTTGGCTGCCTATTTGCTATATTTATTTAGATCTACATTTTACATTACATCTAGTTACTGCCTCATCTATTATTTGGAATATCAGCTCTAACTTGGTGACATTGATTAATCAATAATGATTGCTTGATTTTTCTGAAGCCATTATTTTTTTTTTATTCCAGTGATGTTTCAGTGAGCTCTTCCCCTAGTGCTAGTTCAGGCAGTCAAGTCTCCTTCAAGTTAACCACATCCTAAATAGTCAGCATACCACCAAATCCAAAAGTGAGCTAAATGCACTGAGAATTGGGTAAAAACAAATCTCCCAGGATTCTGTACACATGTTCCCAGAGTGTATTCAGCCTCTCTCAGAAAAGAAAGCAACTTATAATAATTTATAATTTAGGATTATATTCTTATGAAAGGGCAATGAAATACTGAAAGGACCGTTTCATTGGCACTTCTTCAATGACTCTAGAGTTTAATCTATGGAAATTATCCAATAGAAGCTCAGAGATCCTAAAGTTTATCAAGTGAAGGAAGAATCAGACAATATATTTGAAAGGAATAGTTACTCTTGAGAGTAAAAAAAGAGTGGTCTGCATAAATATATTTAAGAAAATGTAAGAGAGGGAGGGAGGGAGGAAAGGAAGATACGTATTATTGACATAACTAAATATAGCACTAAATTAGTACTGTATAGTATAGGACTAAATAAGCTTAAAGCATTTCAAAGTGACTTGAAAGTTAAAGTTACATAAATGCACTGTTAACTATGTATTCCTATTTTGTCTCAGTTAAGACTAGTTGTAGCTGTAGGCAAAAATCTTTCTACCTGGACTACATGTAATTTTGAGATATAGGTTAGTTACAGACATGAGAAACTGTTCTCCAAATGTTAATATCATTAAATAATAGATTTTATAAGGATACACTAGAACCTCACTATGTAACTCTCCTACTGTGTTATGGAATTTCTTATAGGGTAAATCCAAATGGGACATGTCTGAGATGTTTATGATCCTAAATGCCAGGAAGACTTTGTAACATACTGTAATATTTTGTAACATTGTCCTGGGGGAAATATATCCAAAAAGAACAGCCTACTTTTTCTCCAAGAACATGCCCTAAGAATAATTCTTTATAGTAATTAAGAGTTAATTTTCTCATTATTTCCTAGTTGTAAGCAACCATGGAAAAAATATGGAAAACCATGGAAAACATATACTGTGTAATGATAACTAGTATATACAGTATGTAACTGTTAAACCATAGATTTAGAGTTGCTTAGTTTGGAAGTACTAGCATATATACACAAAAAGAAATTAGGGAAAGAATTTGTTTACTTTGTCTCCTTTTCCCCCTTGTATCGAAAGGACAATTTTGAATAGTTAACATTTGGTAGCATCACTTCATTGTTTTAGCTAATTCACTGCGACAAGTTTTTAATCTGCTTTTTATTTTCTTTTTCTTCATGGCTGGGATGTTCCCTGGCACAGAGAAGATCTGAATTCTCAGTCCCATCTGCCTGATCATTATTGACTCCTGATTTGGGGTTACTTAATCTCTAAGTTTCAATTTCCCAATTTCTAAAATAGGTATAACAATAGCTCCTTGAAGAATTATTGTGCATATTAAGTTAGAGTATAGATGAAGGAACATAACTCAATGTCTGGTATAGTATAAGCACTTTATGAATTATAGTTATTAGTAGTAATTATTATTACCAAATTCAATTATTTCTGGAAAAAGTAGCCATTTCTTTTTTAACAACCTCTTAGCAGCATGGAACTGTTTTTGTAAAACATGAAATTATTATTTTTAACGTACCATGTGGGTTGTAGCAATAGGCATCCCATCTTTCACTCCTATTGAGACGGACTCCATAATCAATAATGCCAGTTTTTCCAAATCCACAGTTGGGCCCTGGCTTCACAATGGGGTATCCAACTCTGCCCTTAGCCATCCATCCAGCAGCACAGACATGAAATCCTGCAAGAAGAAAAAGAGTTACGGACTAAACTGCTAAACTGTCTTGGCCAAGCAAAAGTCGTCTTAGCAAAGATAGCCACTTCTAACAATAAGTTTCTTAACTGCTCAAATCCAGTTCATGTAAAAGGGAGAAAATTGTTTCCTTAATTAGACAAAGTGTGAATACACATGAAATATAACCTCTGATTTTTACTAGAAAACTACCTCTTACTTGAAAAAAATGCAAATAGACTACAAATTATTGTGGGTATGAAACTAATCCAAGTTCAGAGCTGGCTGCTTTTCACAAGTGACTTATCGAATGCCATGAGATAATTTCTGAAATTATCAATTTTGAAAAAAATATTTTCAAGTGGTAATTTAATTTCTATTTCAGGGTCAGTTATTTTTAATATCTTATTTATTTATTTTTTGAGACGGAATGTCACTCTGTCACCCAGACTGGAGTGCAGTGGCACAATCTCGGCTCACTCCAACCTCCGCCTCCTGGGTTCAATCAATTCTCCTGCCTCAGCCTCCTGAATAGCTGGGGTTACAGGCATGCGCCACCATGCCCAGCTAATTTTTTTATTTTTAGTAGAGTTGGGGTTTCTCCATGTTGGCCAGGCTGGTCTCGAACCCCTGACCTCAGGCGATCTGCCCACCTTGGCCTCCCAAAGTGCTAGAATTACAGGTGTGAACCACCACGCCTGGCCTATTTATTTATTTAGAGACACAGTCTTGCTCTGTCATCCAGGCTAGAGTGCAGTGGCATGAACACAGCTCACTGCAGCCTCTACCTCCTGGGCTCAAGAAATCCTCCCACCTCAGCCTTTAGAGTAGCTGTGACCACAGGTGTACATCACTACACCTGGCTAATTTTTAAATTTTTTTTTGTAGAGATGAGGTTTCGCTATGTTGCCTAGGCTGGTCTTGAATTCCTGAGCTCAAGCAGTCCTCCTGCCTCAGCCTTCCGAAGTGCTGGGATTACAGGTGTGAACCACTGCACCCTACCAGATATTAGTAATGTTTTAAAATATTTGAATAAAGATAAATTCTCTCATACGTTTCAAACAAAGGCTCAGCCCTGTTTCCCTTGCTCAGCCTCAGAGGCTGTTTTAGTGTCTGTCAGTGCCACCCAAGATCAATTTTACTAGAGGTCCAGGATGGACTATGGGCTTTGTCTCTACCATTTCAGTTACTTTGCCCCATGCCACTCCGTGATTATAGACCAGCAGTCATCTCAGGAGGCTATGGGGCATTTGAGAAAACACTGTTTTTTGTTTTTCTTGAGTAATGTATCAACTTTGCTGGACGTTATCCAGTCAGCAAAGGAGTTCTGAATGGGAGTGGTCCATTCTCCCCAAAGGCCAAGAGAGATGGTAGCAATCCACTTTTGTATAAAGAAGCATATAACACTAGTTGATTACTGGAATTTTCACCAGGTCTTCTGATACCATCTTCCCAGTTTCTTTCTGCTTCTATTTCACGACCTGCCTGTTCTCCTTTTCCTTATAGCTTTTGATCCTGAAATACAAATACATTCTCCCACTTAATGTAAAACAACTGGGGAAAAAAGCCACTAAATTCAATATTTCTTCTCCCAAGTAAATTTGCTTGTAAGACTCAATATAGTACTATAGCATCATTTAACAACCTTCACACTCAGAAGTCAAAGAGATAGAACAATACTAAAAACGAAAACAATGGCATTGAAATTAATGAGAAATTTAAATGATATTGAAGTAATGAGGTTTTCATTTTCTTTTGACTTTTATTTTATTAGATCACACTGGGTTAAGACCCCACATAAGTTGCTGGAACACTAGAAACTTTCTGCCAACTCTAGGCAGATGGATAGGAGAAGTCAGAGAGCAAAGATGTCCTAGGGGCTTAGTGATATATCAGAAGGAGGTTGGAGAAAGAAGTCTTACTAGGGTTTAGGAAAGATGGATTTTTTTTTTCCTCCAAGGATGAAAAAGAAGAAAAATCATTGTGAAATTAGTTACCAATTTTTCTGGCTGCCTCTAGCTGCTTGTAAGTTGCAAGATGGCCACCTTCAAATTCACACACCGCCTTAGCTTCTGCATAGGTGAGCTTGTATTTGCCAGACCGTGCTTCTCTGTGGTACACACCTGCTGCTCGTTCTGTAAAATCAGATGATGTCATAAAAGCACTGTTATTCCTTCTTACGGAACAGGGGAAATTCTGTGGCCTCAGCTGGAAGATTACAACAGTTATCGTTCCTGCCAAAGAGCTTTCTGTGTTGGCTGCCTTGGGTAGCTAAGTTTTCATTGTTAGGAATCTTTGGGGAAAAATATGAATGAGGGGGAATTTTAGGGGAATTTGGGGCCATAAACAGAAACTTCAGGCTAAATTATGTTTTTGATCTGATAGCCTGAAATACAGTTTTTATTTATTTTTTATTTTGTATTTTTATTTTGTGAGATGGAGTCTCACTCTGTTGCCCAGGCTGGTACGATTTGGGCTCCCTGCAATCTCTGCCTCTTGGGTTCAAGCAATTCTCCTGCCTCAGCCTCCTGAGTAGCTGGGATTACAGGCATGTACCACCACAACCCGCTAATTTTTGTATTTTTAGTAGAGACGAGGCTTCACCATGTTGGCCAGGCTAGTCTCGAACTCCTGACCTCAAGTGATCCACCTGCCTCAGCCTCCCAAAGTGTTAGGATTACAGGCATGAGACACCGCACCCAGCCTAAAATAAAGTTTTTAATACAACATTGTATTGCGACACTATCCACAGGTGATAAAGTTTTGGCTTTCTTTTGGATTTAAGCTACATAAAAACTTGCCAAGGTAAGCAATGGGGGAAAAAAAAGGTGAAGGCAAAAGAAACCAGTGAAGATGGATCCATTATGTAGGCTCACAGTGATGAAGAAAAATAAGCTAAAATATCCAATTGAGAAGAATGACTAATTGACTAATGCAATATAATTAAGAATTTAGGCCAGGTGTGATGGCTCGTGCCTGTAATCCCAGCACTTTGGGAGGCCAAGGTAGGCGGATCACGAGGTCAGGAGATCGAGACCATCCTGGCTAACATGGTGAAACCCTGTCTCTACTAAAAATACAAAAAATTAGCTGCGTGTGGTGGTGGGCTCCTGTAGTCCCAGCTACTCAGGAGGCTGAGGCAGGAGAATGGTGTGAACCCGGCAGGCGGAGCTTGCAGTGAGCAGAGATTGTACCACTGCACCTCAGCCTGGGCGACAGAGTGAGACTCTGTCTCAAAATAATAATAATAATAATTTGGTAAAACAAAAACTGAGGAAAGATCTGAAGGGATCCAAAGCAAATACTAAATTAGGGCAAAGAAAAACAGATTCAAACACAGCAGAGAAAAAACTGGACACACCTAACTACCAGTTAATGCCTCAATTTTAAAATCTGATTTGTCTTTTTTAGTTCACATGTTTTCCCCAACATATTTTAGGCAGTGTTAAGTCATACATGAGTTGTCTTCCAATAGATCACTGTTTAAATGGATTGTTTTGAGTTTGGAGTGCCTTCTACCATAGAAACAACGTGAAGAGATTCCCAGGACAATAGTCATAACATTAGCTCTGTAGTTAGCTCTAATAGTTCTATGTAGTCTGACATTATGGTTAAGTCTCTATATCCTGACCTGTGCAATCAGCCACCCTTAGGACCATTTTCAGTGAGGATACACATATTTCTTGGCACCAGGAAATGAATCCAGGGGAATTAGAAATATAGTTCTTTGTTTTCCACCCCACACTGAAGTTGACATTGCCATAGTTCAGTAACAGAGGGTGGTTGTTTTTCTGAACTCTAAGGATCTTGCTCTTATACATTACATAGTAACTCCCGTTACTCACACACAGAGGACCTTAGTCAATCTGATGCTGGAGGTCAGAGAATACCGGGACCATCAGTCAGGTTGTTTCTCCATTGAAAGGTACCTGCTGCCCAGTGTCCTTCATATGGCAAAGCCTCATTAAACTTTCGCTAGTTTTCAATTTAGTTACTTTGAGCATTACACCACGGGGTATTTTGCTAGGTGCTGTGGGTCAGGTTCTATCCTCAAGGAACTTGGACACTAGTGAATATTCTGAATTTCTTTATCTTGAAATAGAGGAACACCAAAGCTTTTGGTAGATACAGGAGGCGTGTTTAACTTACTTATGTATTATAATAGAGATTGTTGTTAATCATTAAAAATGTTAAAAATTATATTTCATAAGTATACAGATTAAAAGACCTGTATTTGAAAACAAATTTTGTAGAAATTAATGTATACAAAGTTTTCTCAAACTGATTTTCTTTATATTTTATTTCAAAATTAAAATGTGATGTTTACAGAAAAAATTAATGGAGATTTGGCCAGGCGTGGTGGCTCATGCCTGTAGTTCCAGGACTTTGGGAGGCTGAGGCGGGTGGATCACTTGAGGTCAGAAGTTCCAGACCAGCCTGGCCAACATGGTGAAACCCCGTCTCTATTAAAAATACAAAAAATTAGCTGGGTGTGGTGGTGCACGCCTGTAGTCCCAGCTACTCAGAAGGCTGAGGCAGGAGAATTGCTTGAACCAGGGAGGCAGAGTTGCAGCAAGCAGAGATCATGCCACAACACCCCAGCCTGGGCGACAGAGCAAGACTCTGTCTTAAAAAACAAAACAAAACAAAACAAAAGAATTAACAGTTTTAAAAAATAATAATTTTAAGTTTTCCTCCCAGTAAATTTTCATTTTTTAAAAATCTTTTATTTTAGATTCAAGGGGTACATGTGAAGGTTTGTTACATAGGTAAACTCATGTCACAGGGGTTTGTTGCACAGATTATTTCATCACTCAGGAATTAAACCCAGTACCTCTGTTCCTCTCCCTTCTCTCACCCTAAGAAATTTTTCTTAAACTTTTGGTACCTACTGAAACTTGTCTAGTAATAACATAATAACAGAAATAGCAAAAAATTTTTATGTTATAATTTTTTATTTAATTTATTAAATATTAACATTCCACGTTGTTCCTCTAACAGCACCAAACTTCCTGGTATGTTGCCATATGAACAAATAGAGAACTCTTGGAGTATGTACCTGACAATTTTAAATAAGGTGTTTTATTTAAAATATTTCTCAATTCAGAATTTTGAGCTATCAAGATGGACCTTTGTACAATGAATCCTAATTTTACCTTTCAGAAGAAATAATATTTTATTAATTTATCTAGTTAATAGTCATTTATTAAAACTGAAAATTTGTTTAATAAATGTTTTCTCTTTTTAGTGAGTGGTGGCAGTAGAAATGGACTTTGGTTCCACTGCTCTTTCTACCATGGAGTTGTATAACCAGATAAGCCTCAGTTTCCTCATTTGTCAAATGGGAATAATGATAGCTTCTGGGCCATAGGAGGAGCTCAAGATATGTTACTTTTCCTTTGTTTTTTTTCTTTGAGATAAGGTCTCACTCTGTCACCCAGGCTGGAGTGCAGTGGTGAGGTCACGGCTCACTGCAACGTCTGCCTCTTGGGCTCCTGTGATCGTCCCACTTCAGCCTCCTGAGTAGCTAGGACTACAGGCATGCACCACCACACCCAGTTAATTGTATTTTTTTTTTTTATAGAGACAGAGTTTCTCTGTGTTGCGCAGGCTGGTCTTTTTAATTCCTGGGCTCAAGCAATCTGCGCAACTCAGCCTCCCACAGTGCTATGATTACAAGTGTGAACCACCGCATCCTGCCTTCCTTTCCCTTCTTTTTCAGATTCAACAATAAAAATAATTGCTTATCTGTGCATTTTTTATTCTTATGATCCATGTAAAATGATTGTAATTTCTTGTCCTTAACTGTTGTTTGTTTTTGTTTTGTTTAAAGTACTATTTTTAAAATTAGATGATACCAGAGTTAAAATAAGCCTTAGGGATCCTTTACTTCAACCTTATCATTTTACCAGATTGGAACCATAACCTAGAGAATTTAAAGTAAACTTATCCAACTTGCGGCCTGCCAGGACGGCTTTGAATGTGGCCCAACGCAAATTTGTAAACTTTCTTAAAACATTATGAGTTGCCCAAGACAATTGTTCTTCTTCCAGTGTGGCCCAGGGAAGGCAAAAGATGGGACACCCTAGATTTAAAGTGTCCTGTTCTCGATAGTTGCTAACAGATGTATCCCTTCTAATCCAACTATCTTTCCTTTCTAAATGGTTTCTAATACTATATTGATCCAACCAACTATAAACTATAAACCAAACATCTGTGCTAGGCTGGCTGGTCAATAATTTGCCCCAGATTGAAGCAATTTGCAATTATCCTGACCCTCAGATTTGTAGCATACATTAAGAGACATTTGAATTTGCTTCTCTCTGCCTCTGGGGCAGAACATCTATTGTCCAGGTTTATATTTTTGTAACATACAATGACACTTTAAAAGACAACTCTAAATTACTTGATTATTAAAGGGTTTGATAACATTTCAAAGTTTATCTGCATGGATTTAATTACTAGCTTTACGACATTAAAAAAAAAATCCTGACGAATATGAGCATATTTCCTACCTTTGACTGTATACAACAAAAATAAAGAGATGGGCTCATTCCTCTACTAAATTTCAGATCCTGTCTTGGCCAAATGGATCATAATGAAATTAGTTCACGGGCTAAGCTGAAAAAAATAGGTGGCAAGGCTGTGCATTACAAATTAGGCTTTTTAATGAAATCCGCATGGTTGCAGTTATTACCAGAGAGAAACATACTGAAAGGGAAAATATTCTACAACTGTGCTGTTTAGCAAGCATAAAATCAAAATCTAGGTTATTTTCACCTTCTCTTTATTTCTTTTTTCTATGCAAGAATCTATGCATTTTTCCCCAAGAAATTCAATTTATTTTTACTATTAAACACAATAATGAACATAGAGCAATATCAATTTGTATCATAAGAATTAAAGTATTGTTTAGCATACTGTAACATAAGGGGTGTTTTGGATTTTCTGCATTTTCCTTTTTTGATCTATTGTTTATCTTCACTGTTTGGCCTATGTCATTCCTTACATTTAACAAAACAAAATAACAAAAAAAACTTTCCTTGTCTAACAAAAGGGTCAGAAAAGTATTTATATGGATAGTACAAACAGAAAGAATCAAAGTGGTAAGAATGCATTCAGAAGGAGAAACATTTTTCACTTTTTTCTGTATTGCAAGCTGCCTTGGTCAAAATAGTCAAAATGTTTGAAAAAACTAAGATATAGACTATAGCTCAGAGTACATGAAGCAATTATTATAAAATTTTTGTATACTCCAATTTACCTGTTATGATTCTGAAATCTGATTGCAAATGCATTGACAAAAACAAAAGACTATATTGGTGTTTCTAGTTGGTTAAAGAAATACTCCTCACTGTGCTACTACATCTGCTTTGAAAAGTTTAAAAGTGTATTTTCATACTGAATATAAATATTAACTGCTATTTTCTACTGAACAGTTCACTTTATAAAATGCTATTTTTACTTTTCAGAGGACAAGAACACTTAAGAAAAAAAAAGCATGTGTATTCCAAAGGCTATCTTTCCTAAGCATTTTCTTTGAGAACATCAGCCTTGTACAGAATAGAAAAAGTTACTGCTTTAATTTCCTTCTCCATGATTTAAAGAATTGACATTCTCAACAAGAAACTCATGAGTGAAGTTTCTTACCAAGCCATATGGAGTTATGAAAAATTCCATCCTTGAATCCCCATCCTTGAGCCTCTTCCCATAGCAAGAGAAATAAGTAAATTAAGATGATCATATCGTCAGTTGTAGCGAAGTAACAGCCTGTTAGGGGCTGCTCACAATAAATTCTCAGAGCAGCGGCTGAAATGTGACTGAAACATCTGGTTTCCACATCTTTTAAATAGTTTTTTTCAACTGTGAGGTCAGCAAGTACTCTCCAATGGCATTTTCCGCTGTGGAGTTACACAATTATCTCAGTGTCTCAAGCAAATCCTCTGACTCATTTGCATTGGCAACCAAAACTAAGGAGATAGAATGATCATCTATGTTTTAAAATTAACTTACTAAGAACGGAGTTCATTTATTGTTAGTCACAAACAGTTTTCTGTTAGAAAGTTTGCGTAACTTGATGCAGATTTAGCACTGATTAAAAAAAAGTCAAACTTCAGTAGGAATTTTAAGATAAATCCTAAATATCTTATTTGCAGTGTCAGTTATGGGATATGGGCTTAAATACTAATCTTTTATTGGTAATGTTGGACTGGCTTTTCCTAAACATTATCAAGCCCATATAAAAAATTTAAAACAAAAAGTGTACACAGTTTGGAGAATCCTAATTTTTCTCCAATGATATGTGACTTCCTTATTCTCTGTCTGCTTTCTTCCAGGGTGGGGTCTGTTGCAGTCTTTGGTTTGTTATGGTCATCAGTTAAATAAATGCATCAGCTCCCAGAAAAATAGTTCAATTTCAGAGCATCAGGACGTTCCAGCAGCTTTGGGATGTCCTGTTATAACAGGCCTGTTTTCCCAGGCCACAAATTCTTGAAGGGTTGGGAGAAAGGTGGGTAGACTAATAAAGTTAATAACAATTTGTCCCTAGCTTCCCGAGACCACTCTAACTTTGAAGAAGATGATCAAAATAATAGATAATAATTATTACAGTAAGTCATCATGTCTTCAAATATACCAAACTTTCCTCTTCCTTTATGTAGAATCCTTGGGTAACATATCTGATAATACTCCCACTACCACTGATGCTATAGGCAGTTCCTGTTGTTCATTGATAGCCATTTATTGGCAACTTTTGATTTTTTTACAAAATTGGTCATTTTTTTGGAACTTAGATTCTCTACTTTCGGTCCCAAGTTGTTTCCCATTCACTCCTATTATAGCATTCACTTCTCCCATGCTTTCTTAGTCCCTCCAATGACGTTGGAGTTCTTTGAAAAAGCCAACTTGCTAGACGTGCTCTGGTCTGGAGTTAGCTTTGAATCCCTTAGACATCTTTGCTTTGAACATCTCAGGTATGTTCTGGTCTCATCTCTTCTTGAAAGAGCAGTTATGGGGATGTAGGCTGAGAGTACAGAATTTTTTGGATGCCCACTGAGGTATGCATAAAGGTACTAGCATTCAAAAGTCTTTATTTTGGACCAGTGGCACGTGAAAGATGAGGGAATCGTATCCAAGTTCACAGATAGGATTAGTGAATTTAAGTTTGTTGCAAAAGGGAAAGGTATAGTCTAGACCAGGTGGATGTGACTATGGAGAAGACAGACATGGTTAGTGAGAGCAAGATTCATAGGTAGTTGGAAGGAATAAACCATGACATTTCTTTGGAAAGTATAATTATATGAGTATTTTAAGTTTGTGGTTTAGGAAGTAAGTATAACTTTAGTTGTGCAATGCTACAGCAAAACCTTCCCATAGTCTTTCCAATTCTTTGCTTGTCACATCCTCCAGCTGTGCCCTTTCTGCATCTCTCTCAAGCGCCTAATTTCCCCCTAGTTCTCATTTATCAAAAATTACTCTCAGGAAAGGGTTTGCAATTAATCTTTACTTAGGCCAGATAACTAAGAACAGATACCCTTCTGTGTTCATTTGCATTTTAATGAAGCTTCAAGTAGAGCGAAGTGTGAATGTTCAACTTCTTTTAACACAAAAATTTAATGAGTTGCTTTGATGAATTAACCCAATCTGGGGTGGAGGATTTCTTTCTCCCCTCTGCCAACTCTCATGCAGAATATAAATATTTCCCCTTACCTCTGCATAGTGTCTGAAAATCTCATCCTCCATATCATCAAGGAAATAGAGAATAATGCCTAATGATGTGGGTCCTGATTTTGAGGGGCATTCAATAAAGGAAAGAGGAAATGGGGTTTTCATATGGAAAAGATGCAGAGGGTAATCCTGAGGACAAGAAAGTAGAAAAGAGAGAGTGGCAAATGAAATGTTGCCTGTAAACTTATCTTAGACGTTGTCTAAGAAGCACCTCTGCCCAGCCTCCAGGACACACCACCCAGCATGAGCCTCATGAGGAGCTGAGAGAAGATACACCAATAAAAGTTCCTTTCAGGCTGGATACAGTGGCTCACACCTGTAATTCCAACACTTTGGGAGGTCAAGGCAGATGGATCACGAGGTCAGGAGTTCGAGACCAGCCAGACCAACATGGTGAAACTCCGTCTCTACTAAAAATACAAAAATTAGCCATGCGTGGTGGCTCACTCCTGTAATGCCAGCTACTCAGGAGGCTGAGGCAGGAGAATCACTTGAACCCGGGAGGCGGAAGTTGCAGTGGGCCGAGGTCACGCCACTGCACTCCAGCCTGGGTGCCAGAGCCAGACTCCGTCTTAAAAAAAAAAAAAAAAAGAAAAAATTCCTTCCTTTGGAAGACTTTACCAGTCAAGTATTCTGCCTTCGCAGAGGAATGCCCTCCCCTCCCATGATCTCTGGGTCAAGATGTGCAGTGGCTCCTTTCGCACATGTCACCACTAGCTGAAAACCCAGCAAGACTGCTTTTTGTAGAGGAGCTCCTCTTTTGGTTGCTTTTCTATAATGCTCCAATGCCGGTAAGCCTAAGCAGCTATTAGATACCTAAAGACATGGTGGGAGAACTCCGTATCTGAATTGGGATAGGGCTGCACTGAACAAGCTTAAGATCTCTTAAGCTGCCACAGTGGTTAATGATGTCTCTATTACACAAAGTTAACTGAAAAAATGAGACGTTAGCCAGTGTGGTGGTGTGTGCCTGCAGTCCCAGCTATTCAGGAGGCCAAGGCAGGAGGATCACTTGAGCCTAAGAGTTTGAGGCTGCAGTGAACTATGATCACATCACTACATTATAGCCTGGGCAACAGAGCGATACGCTATCTCGAAAGAAAAGAAAGAGAGCGAGAGATACACTAAAGTAGAATTTTAAACATTTATCAGTGGTTGAGAGGAAATCTTTTATATTCTTTTGACATGCTGAGTTTCACCTGACAGGGAAAAGGGATGGAGAAGTGTCAGGTGAATACAGACAGGAGAAAAAGAAAGAGAATGAAAACAGGTTCTAAGAGAATATGTCTGATTATACTTAAGACTGGATTTGAATGGCAAATGTGCAAAAATGCAATTCTTTGACACACTGTATGAAAATTAAAATATAAATTATATCCTTTATTGAGCATATGTTGCAATCTTGGAAAGAAGGAAAACAACCAAGAGATTAGGAAAGGGTGGAGCTCAGTGAATTACAAAACATGTCAATACAGGACATTTTTAACACTGCCAATAAGGACATAAAATTGCAATATGGGAATGCCCCACCCACCCCAGGATCTCCACAAGGACTGGGATAGGAATAAAGGCAATACATGAAGAAAAAGCCATTCCCCTTGACTATGATTTAAAACGATTGGAGAGAAATTCTTATGTGCGACATAGAACAAGCTTAAAGAAATGAAATATGTGGCAGTGTACTCGTTCATTCAATAATCAGTGCAAACTTTTACAGGGTCAGTGAGCAGGATAGAGCCTAACTAGAACAATGGGAAATCTTTGGAAAAGTGAAATATTTATTTATTTATTTATTTAGAGACAGAGTTTTGCTCTTGTTGCCCAGGCTGGAGTGCAATGGCACTATCTCGGCTCACTACAACCTCCACCTCCTGGGTTCAAGCAGTTCTCCTGCCTCAGCCTCCCGAGTTGCTGGGATTACAGGCATGCACCACCACGCCCAGCTAATTTTGTATTTTTAGTAGAGACGGGGTTTCTCCATGTTGGCCAGGCAGGTCTCAAACTCCTGACCTCAGGTGATCTGCCCACCTCAGCCTCCCACAGTGCTGGGATTGTAGGTGTGAGCCATCATGCTTGGCCTATTTAATTATTTTATGTTAAAAAGCTTTGAGACAGTGTATATGAGCCTGTGTACAACACTGAATGGAGTAATGCACTATCAAGTTTATGGGTAAACAGATGTCAGAAAGGTATCCAACGCTGATGTTGAACTTCCAATTGTTATGCAGCGTGACAGTTGTTAGTAATCTTAACCAAATATTTCCAACTCTCCAACTTCCAGCAAACATGATAGCATTGTACCTGTGTCTATCTGTGGTTTGGTGGGACCATGTGATTACTTTTGGTTAATGAGATGTGAGCAAAAATTATATATGTCATCTTAGAGACGAGAATTGGATTGTTAATGCTTCTGAACTCTTTCCTTCCGGCATGGAGGGAAACATTTGTGATGGCAGCTGCTCTTTCACCCTGATTCCTAATTGATCCCTGGATTTTATATAACATGAATGAACTATAAACCTTTGTTGTTTTAAGTCTGAGATTTTGGGGTCATTTACTACTGTTAGCATAACAATCTATCCTGATTTATAGGAAGAAGTGAGCTAATATATTAAAACAAAGGGGTAAGTTTAAAAGGTTAGCAGTCACCGGGTGCGGTAGCTCACGCCTGTAATCCCAGCACTTTGGGAGGCTGAGACGGGCGGATCATGAGGTCAGGAGATCGCGACCATCCTGGCTAACACGGTGAAACCCCGTCTCTATTAAAAAATACAAAAAACTCCCAGCTACTCGGGAGGCTGAGCCAGGAGAATGGCGTAAACCCGGGAGGCGGAGCCTGCAGTGAGCGGAGATCGCGCCACTGCACTCCAGCCTGGGTGACAGAGCGAGATTCTGTCTCAAAAAAAAAAAAAAAAAAAAAAAAAAAGGTTAGCAGTCTAAGGACATTCAGATGTAAAAATTAAGACAAGAAGGAGAAATATGAAGAGGAGGAAATAAGAATGAGGAAAAGAAGACAGTGATTAATGGATTTAATATTCTTCCTCTGCTGGCCTCCTAAACTCCTAATAACACACAGCTCCTCAATCTATGATTTGCCCCTCCAAA